TCCGCCGCCGCCGCGCCTCTCCCCGCGCAGCGCACCCCAACCGGGAGGTGGCCGGGACCCTGCTGGGGCCTGGGCCCTGCCGGTGGGTCTCTCAGCTGAAGGCCGAGGCTGCTGCCCCTGCCTCCTTCCCCTGCGTGTCACAGGGACGACGAAGCCCCCCAGCTTGGGGAGCTCTGAGGAATCAAAGAGTATTTGCCTCTCTTCAGCTCCTTGCTTAAGACTTTAGGGGAGAGGGGGGTGAAAAAGGCAAGTCCCTGTTTGATCTTCAGCTGCTGCCACCGTAACACTCCTCAACTTTGAAGTGCTTCTCAGCTGCAAACACAACTCTTGTAACCCGGCTGTCTCTGCCTTTGATAATGCCACACAGGTGCGATTTTTTTTTTTCTAAAACACTATTCAGGCCATTAATGCACCAGGAAAATGCTTGAAGCGACACATCTGCTTGAATCACCAAAGTTTTTATGGGACTCGCAGTGCTTTTTAGACTTGAAGGATCTGTCATGCTCTTATTTATAATGCAGCCTGATACACAAAGCTGTGTCAATGTTACTTCCCTCATCATTCTGTGGAGCCTGTTTGTTTTAAGCTTCTGCACAGAGTTCGCTCTGTTTTCAATAATATTCAAATACCCACATGAAACAACTGTCTCTCCCACCAGCGCTCCCCTGCGCCTTTGTACGATGATGGCAAAGAGAAAAGCTGCTTTCTTGTGCCCTCTCAAGTGCCATTATTCAGCAACCGGGAAACGATCAGCACGTACTCTCCTCTTCCAATTATTTGCCCGTGTACAAACAGATTATTACCAAAGGAGATGCAGGTAAGGGGCTGGTTCCTTACTCTGGCCCCAGGGCTGCGGGCAGGAGGGACACAGCTTCTCCTCGTTCCGGTGAGGCAGAAGGCAGGCCTGGTTTTTTTCCCAAAGCAGAGACAGCGGCTCCAAGTTCACCGCTCAGGCCCTGGCTTGCTTATGCTATTTTGCATAGAAACTGGTTTTAGCTAGTATCAGCAAAAGTCTTCCTTTAGAAGTTTCCATGATGGATGCACTCAAGCCCTTGCCCTGCTTTGGTCTGGGCTAATGAGCAACAGGCCTTATGCCCTGAGGTGAGCCTGCGGCAGGGAGAGCGCCTGGCTCAAGTGCAAGGACGTGAAGGTGCCTAGGAAAAAGTACTGAAGCCTGAAAATGCAAGATAACAAAAGTACAGAACAAGATACCAGAGTTAAACCACCGGCATCTATGTTGACATTCCTTACCCAAAATAAAGAGATCCTTCCTTGCCCAGGGCAGAGATCCCTTAGTCGTAACAAATCCTTGGTAAGTGACTGATAACATTATACTGATGAAACAGTACTAATCCATGGGGCTGCTCAGTATTATTTATTATAAACTTTGTACAGATAATCCCACTACAAACTTGTCCAAGTCTGAGAATAAGGTTGGACTTGGCTGCACCTGGGCTCCATCAGGAGTTCAGAAAGCAAAGGGGTCCACCCTGAACCGTGTGACTCAACAGGAGAGTCTTCCATACCCTTTGCATCTCTGAATTGTTATAACTCAGATTTCCTTTTTACGCTTCCTCCATGCAGTAATTAATAAGGTGAGCCTTCCCATCAAACTTATTGAAGCTTGGTAAACCACTGTTCAACTTTGTTAAATTTCATTAAATTTATTGAACTCTGTCATATTATTATTTTACCTCAATAAAACATATTGCTGCCTCTCTCTTTTGAGTGAAGTACATTTCACTCATCTGCACCAGTCTTCCTTCAAAGGAAAGGATAAAATAAATCTCATTATGACGGCAGAATTTATTTCTGGGAGATCTACTCTACAAGCTCTACAACCATGCAATCAGGAACCTGCAGGAAATTCAGAGGATCCCTGTCTTCCAGGACAAAAAAAAAACAAACACGAAAACCACAAACCGCTTAGATTAAGCAATACTTCTTCGCTTTTAACCTTCAAACGCGTAAAGGCAACGGAAGCAAATTTGTGAAGGACCTGGTACATGTTTCCTTCCTGTCCTGCCCCACTTCATCACTCAGATGGAAAACTTACCCTTTTACTGGTGGCTGTTCTCATGTCCAGCCAGTTTCACAAAAATCACATTTTTTTCCATCTCCAGAGAGACTAAAGCCAGACATAGTTAAATACGGGAAGTTCCCACTGAACATCCTTTGCTGTACCTTGCAGTCCCAAAGAACCTCAGACAAGGCCTTTATTTCAAGCCATTGAAAGTTCTGCACTTTCAGTGACAGTTAAGAAGGAAATTCTCACTTCACAAAATAACCATCAAAACACAGTACACAGGAGACCAAGCCTTCTTGCATTACTTTCTAATACAGCATAAAGGAAATATAAACAAGCCATACAAATCTGTACTTGCACAGTGAGATTTTTTTCTCTTTTTACATTCACTTGGTCAATTTACAAATAATCACTCTAGACAGAAAGTTAAAAATATCATACAAAGACATCCCTCGAATTTATTGTTATTATAATGTAGAAATTCTTCTTGGCACAATAAAATATATATATATACATACCGTCTATTTTTTCTTTCTTTTCCAAATATTAACAAAAACATTCTGGTTAGCATGAAATGACATTAAAATTTATGAATAGTAATGGACAAAAATGCCTTTTCTCTAGAAGGCCTGATCAAAGTGTAAGTCTACATCAAAAATAAAAAACAGTTGCTCTTAAAAGAAAAAAGGTAACATAAAAAACAAACCTCAGAGTTGTGCTGTTTCCATCAACACAGATGTCTTAAGATTTGTTTATTATAGAGATTTAAAAGCAAATTTAAAGTCTTTTCCCAGTTCTATGACTTTACTTTTTGAAAATTCGTTAAAGTTTTGAAAACCAAGTCCATGCACAAAGGGTAAACAACAGCTTTCAATTCCACAGAAGACAAACTAGTGGAAAAAATACTATTTTTGAGACATTCAGAAACCAACTTGGATGCTTAAAAGAAGACTTCCAAAACCAGAGCTAAAATAAGGCAATAAAAGGTGGCACAAAACCTGTATTTACCTCAGTCTTCAACATGAAACAAGATAATCAGACATGCCTGTCTTCACTTTTTCCATTATTAGGTAGGCTGTGTACCTGCAGCTGTTCCAACCAGATCCATTTTGCACTTAAATACACAGAGTAGGAATTGCTTTTAGGGCAGTTAATCGCTGTCTTCACTGGAGTCAAAAATGTCACTGAGTCGGAAAGTCTTCTTCTGTTGACTGGCTGTTAAATCATCAGAGCTAAGCTGTTTCCCCTTCCTTTTTTCTAATTTGTCTTCAAGATCTGGCAGCGTCTTTTTAAAGAGATAATCAACAATTTCTTTAAAAAAAAAAGAAAAAAGAGAGAGAAAAACGTGGTCATAATTGGATCTGTAGGGGAACCAGACGCCATGGGAAAACAGGATCTCACAGACAGAAATTATTTTGTCAGCGTTAAATGCCAAAAAAATCTCACTATTCTGAAGTAGTCACAGTGCTGCAGGGTAGATCAGACGCATACACACATGCAAAGATAAACTAAAATAGCACAGTCATAAACCTTTTAAAGTCAAGACAAATTTACTCAGGGGAAAGCTAAGAAAGAATTGAACTAGAAGAGGTATCCTCTTAGATTCAAACAAAAACCTTAAGGAGTGTTTATAAACAGGTGGGATACTGACCAGAAAAAGTCTTTTTTTGCCAAAGAGGGACACAGGAGACTTTTAACTTATAAAATCTTGCTTGAACATAGCCTTTAGGGACATCCCTGAAAAGAGAAGAGTTTGAAAAGTTAGTGGTGCAAGGACCTATTATAAAGTTGAGTTGTTACTGAGTTACCCATTCATGAGAGCGGTGCCAGTCAAACAGTATCTTAACTTTAAGTAAAAAGGACGGATTTCAAATTCTAATTAAAACAGGTTTTTTTTCAAGACAGCAACTTCCCTTGAAGGCAAAAACCTAAACCATGCCATCATACGTATTTTTATATGTTTAATGAAAAGCAACAGTAAACGAAAAGTATGTGCAGAAAGAAAAAAAGTGCTACAGAGAAACTCTAGCATTCACAGTATTGGTCATTTCATACTCAACATTCACTTTGTTCGAAAGAAAACTATTATATTGTATTCCTAATGTCTTGATTAACACTTGGAAAAGTCTTTTATGAAAGACTTCAGGCATGGACTACCTAACACAGTTCTAGCACACAGAACATGCTGGGAACACACTTCAGTGCCTGAAGTGGTTAAAAGTTACTTTCAGAGCTTATCGGCGTGGTTTATTGCTCAGTACTACGCGAGGATATACAGCTGTGCGTTACCAAACTAAATGACACAGGCTACAGTTGTAAAGGTCTAAAAACTTTGATTCCTTTGTGGAATTTTTAAACACTGTGTGCTTCAACTCTCCTCTGTATCCATCGAAAAAAAAAGGAAAACATTTCTTACCCAATTATATTACTGAGTTCTTCCCAGTTTACTTCATTAGCGTCTTCCACTTTCATCTCATGTAACCTGTCAGTATAACACAGAAGCAGTCTGAAGCAGAATTCCAGCACTAATTCAGTCACACTAGCAGCTCCCTCAGGCAGAAGTCACAGCGTGTTTTGTCTGAAGGAAGAGTGGCTGTGAAACTGCAGGCATGCCATTCTCACCCTGTAAGCTCTTATAAATACAACTCAGAATAGAAAAAAATTAAAAAAAATCCACTCGAGTATCTCTGAACTGTACCTTTTAATAATACTGATCTTGGCCTGTAATCCTTTGGTCCCCCGGTATACTGGCTGCCCTTTGGTCATCTTGTTTGTTAAAATCGTAGTCCTTTGAAAACACACACACAAAAAAAGAAAGGTTTTATTATTTCAAGAAATTCCAAGCACCAAAAGATAGATGGTACAGCTGACACAGAGAAGCAGAAATCAGGCTTCACTATCCCAACAAGAAGAAAATTCACTACAGCTAGCAAAGTTATTTGTCTCAGAGACATTTGCAAATGTCTCTTCTGTAGTCTACAAACTATTTATTACCTCTTACCCAATCACTGTGGTACAAACATTTTTGCAGAATAGAGTTAAATACATTCCGGAACACATTTTACTATCTCAGTTTAGTATAAACCCTTACCATTTCTGTTTGCATTGCCTCCAATATCGAGTTCCCACTTTACTTTCAATCTCAGACCATGGTAATTTGTGCAACAGTTTCTCACGGTCAATCAAGAGATCTCTATTTGACTTTTCCGACGAGGAAAGAGAATCTTCATCTTCTGCTCTTTTCCTAATCACCTCCTCCACTGCATGCATTAACTTCTGGACCTCTTCCTTTGACCAAGGACCATAATTAACAGCTAAAATTGAAGAATATAGAAAAATATCACGAAAGACTAGGAAAAAAGGCAAAAGAGCAAATGATTTCTTGTATTATTCTATTTACAGGACCAGCTTCTTAACGCACCTCATAGAAACACTTCTGCATACCAGATTTGAGAGAGAAGTTCAGCCTAATCACTAAAGAATCACATTGATCCCTAGTTTCTATCTTTTAAAACCTGGCTGTCAAATTCTTCCCAGCCTTCCCCCGAAAGCATCTTTTCAGATGTCAGTGCCATTTCATAACGGGTTGCATTTGTTTCGTTTCTTTTCCCTTTTCTGTAAAAGACTGTTCTTATCCCTTCTGTATGAAAATACAATCAGTGGTCAGGAAAAAAGAATGACCATCATAAAATTTAAATATAAATAAAAATAAAACCCACTCAAGGGGCTTTTTCATAAAGTTTAGGGCACATACAACCTGTAGTTAGAATAACTTTTCAAATTGCAACACACAGAACATGTTAGTTTTTTTTAAATTACATACGCGACTTGATTTCAGAGTATTTCATAGCAACTGAGAGGTTAGAGCGGGACATCATCTCAGAAATCTTCTTCCAATCATTGCCGTGCATAGCATGATACTTCTTTAATTTTTCTTTTTCTTCTGTTGTATACCTAGTTGAGGAAATGGGGACAGTTTCAGCTGTAAATTCAAACCACTCTGATATGTTAAGAGCTGTAGTTGTCACTTTTACAGGCATTTCAATACTACCCATCACTATCATTTCAATTCACACTTTAGAACGGAGGAATTGATAAGGACTAGTCAGAAAAATTAAGGACTAGTCAGAAAAATTAACTGTCAGTTATATCACAGTGCCACCACAAACGGTAGAGATAATCTTCATTTGTATCCATTTTTAATGTACAAATAAGCATCGGAGACTGATACTAGCATTCAGAAATTCTTTCAAATTACTTGCTTACCTCCCTTTATAATTATTTGAGTCAAACATCTTCCTTGCTCGATAATATATCAGCCTCCAGGGTCGCGGTATGCCCTCAGCTAGAAGGCAAATGATTCATTTTTCAGAAATATTTCTCACACTGGTCAGGTCATTTTCAAAAAAAAGCCAAAAACAAAACGAAACCAGAAAATAACAACATACATCTTCATGACCGTGCTGTTAATGATGGATTCTCTCCATTCAAGAGAACGTACTCTACAGCACCTCAGCAAGTGCACAGGCAAGTCTAAACAGAATCTCCTGAGGAATTTCAAAGATATAATTGTTATGACCAGGGTAAGATCACGAATGCTGACAGCTGGGAAATAATTGTGTTGTGCCAGCGTACACGTGGGTGAACATCGAAGACTGAACTTTCGAACTCCCAAGCATAAACCTGCAACTCGCTACCTACAAATTGCATGGACTGTCTGTACATTTGATCCAGATGTAATTAATATTTAACTAACATAGTGAACGTTAGTTTTTAGAGAGACAGGAGACAGCCACCAGCCAGGAGGCTGATGAGATATTGTGCTTCTGCATATACCGGGGGGCGGGGGGCACTCGGCCAAAACAAAGGGAATATCTTGGCTGAAGGGAAGATCCTTGAAGTGGAGGAAGATCCACAGAGACTAATACCTGGGAACACAAAACAACCTTGGTCAGCAATACCCAAGAGAGGTGATTGCAAGCAACTCGCGTAACACTGACGTGACTTTCTACCCAATTCTCCTGGACCAGAAGCAGTCTCCCAGATTGGAAGGGAAGTCAACATCAGGGAAATGTGACAATGCAGGGGGAATGATTGTGCATGTGCGCATCCAGGATTAGGGCTGGGCTGGTTACTAAATGCTGGCAGATACTCTCCCTCTCCAAATGGGATAGGAAAGGGAATGAGGCAGCGACCTTGGATTGGAGAAGAAAACTAAAACAAATAATAGCACTGATAAGGGAATAATGAAAATAATTCAATATACACAAATATATACAACTGATATCAAACCTGACTCCCCCCCTAGTAGCACCAGTGCCACAGAGCAGGCGGCACTGGGGAAGTCCCAGGCTCAGCAGCAGAGTGGAGCTGGGTACAGGAGCTGGATTCAGGAACTCGGGATCAGGATCAAAGGCAGAAGATCGGATGGAGTCCTCCTTGAACACCAGCCACTGAAGAAGAGCACTTACACTCCGTGATCCCTCAGCTTTGTACCGAATATGAGGTACCCAGCATGGAACACTCTTGTTGGTCACCTGTCTCTCTCCAGAGGTGCAACCTTTTACTTCCTTACGACCCATTTTACTTCCTGTCCTCAGTATGTTACACAAGATCCAGCAGTGACCTTGGTCACTACAGGAGCAAGCATAAGCAAGAGCTTTTCCGCATTCCAATCCCTGGCAGTAACTGTAAACATCAGGCGTTACCACTGCTAGTAGCAGGCTCTGTCTGTAATCCTCAGAAAGTGCAGCCTTGTAGAAAAGACTGTGCTGGAAACTAAAATCTCTGAGCAGAATTGGTTCTGTTTAGCTCAAATCAGGACAGTGTGAAGCAATCAAGGAGGAACAAATTTGTAGCCTCATTGATCCTTAAATAAACACTAGCGTGCAAATCCATTACAGGCTGTCATTTACTCTGCCCTACCCATGCGAGTGAAACAGAACAAACACAGAACAGAAAGCTACTAAGAAAGTGCACTGAGTAGATTCACCAGAAACGCTACAAAACGAGCGTTGTTTGCCATATGAAGCCAAGAAAACAACATGACTGAAGAGGAAGAGATGAAATGTTGCTCCTGCAAAGAGAATCTTAGCTGTAAGAATTTTGTTTTCCTGAAGCCTTGGAAAACTTTGGCTAAAGACTCAATTTCTTTCAGTTTCTGCCATCACTCAGTCCTAAACCTCCCACCTATTTATTTGCTCTCACTCAGTCCTGAACCTGCCACCTATTTAGGTGCCCCAAAAAGAGTTGACATTTTCAGAGATGACTGAATCACACCTCCTGTCACAAAGTCACTGCTTAACTGTAGTCTAGTAAATAACGCACCTTAAGCCGGAAAGTTCAAATGCAAGTCTGAAAGTCTGTAAGTGCTGCTGGTCATGATGATATTCTAAACTCTTCACACCCAAGAAAAGATAGTAAGAACAGCACACTGTAGAGATTATCACCTGCATAATCTCAGCAGCATGCTCCTTTTTGGCCAAATTTAACAAACATTACTGCTTTTCAAAAAAACCCAATTATTTTAGGGAGGGCTGAGCCAGCCCCTAACACAGACAGACGCTCTCTAAACGCATCATGGTATCACCAGGTTGTGAAATGTGACATTCAGCTAATTGAGAACTAACCACTTACCAAGTTTTTCACAAAAAAGATGCTCTGCTTTTAAGCGACTGATAGTTTCTTTATCTTCCGGATACCTCGATGTGAACAGAAGTTTTTCAGCACTATCTATTCCAGTAAGTGATAAGAACTCTTCAACATTTTTCCGGATCTGAATATTTTCCTTCTCAGTAAATCTGCCAAACTTGACAGCAATACCTGGAATACACAGGAAGTTTTATTTAATTTTTTTTTATATAAAAAAAAGAAAGACACAAAACCTCAAGTACCATGTCTTGTACATTACATTCTATGTTTTAGCAAACATCTAAGGAAAGATCAATAAATTCAAAGAAGAAAGGAAATTAAAAGAGACAAAACAAGAGCCAGGAGCAGGTAATTTGCACTATCCTTTGGACTGTAATTGGACAACGAGGAAGTAGATGGCAAGCAGCAGAGAAACAGAAAAATATGTCCATTGGAATGATGTGAAGCAGACTCCATGGATATGAGACATGATACAAAAAAATATTTTCCCTCGGTCAAAACATTCGCACAGCTGCATAGTCCATCCTCACTGGAACAGTATTTTGGAGACCTCACCTTGTTTTTTGAACTGTTTAAACCTCACTAGGTCTCTTCCAGCCATTTTCCTGATTGAGCTGTCTGATATATTTCTCACGTGAGGAATAAACTTTTCCAATTCTTTTCTTGCAGTATCCAAATCCACAAACGAACACACGGTATAGTCCAGGGTCTCTTCATCATTCGGACTAAGCTCATCAGAGGCAGCCTTTTCAGTAGGGGAACTACTCTGGTCCTTCTTTCTGTGTGATGCTGAAGGTTCTGGTGTCCTGATAAAAAAAAAAAAGTAAAATAAAATACACCACTAGAGCTCCAAAACAGAGATTTTGTTAGTATCTCTGTCATTAAAACAATGAGCATAGTCATTAATTAAACAAGGAATACTTCGCAAATCCACCCCTTTGTACTTCCAAACTTTTAACATAGACTTTATTTACTATCAAATTTCAGTATAATATTCAAAGAGCTCGCTGAAGTTTTGAAAATGTTCACCTTTCCCACGAAACTCTCAAATATGGACACACAGAAGAAATACACTCTTGCTACCACTGGCAACACTGAACCAATGCTTACTAATGCTCTTATGGTGGGTTCTAGAACCTGTAAAAGCACCAAAAGCTACTTACATGAGCATTTGTTTGCACAGAACACTAAATTCTTTAATTGACCTTAGTAGTTGCTTGGTAAAAGCTTACTATCAGCACCAAATTCAACAATTAAATCCCTTTAATCCTATTTTTCTCCTCTCCCCTCAACTTTTATTAACTAAACATTAATTGCTTGCACGTAAATTATTTGTATACCTACTGATTTTAAATAGGAGAAAATATTCTTCATTGAATGCAATGGCAGCCTTACAAATTTTCACTGTACCTTCACAAGACAGGTAAATCCTTAAGTTAGGTCTCTTTAAGATCTCAACATATTGTAAAGGCTTCTGAAGTTGTTTTTTAAAAATATGTACCCAAAAAATGAAGAAAAATCTAGGACCCAAATAATGTGATGGAAACATATTTGGGGGATGGGGAAATAAAGAGAAAACAAAACCAAAAACTAAAACTTAAACTTACGCCACATCAGAGTCTGAAGAGCTGTCTTCTGTGATAAAAGCACGGCTTTTTATCACCTTCCTAGGATACACTGGAGTTTTTTGCGAAGCTTGATCAGGTGCTTTAGTCGTCTTTGGCAAACGAGCGGGTTCATTCAAACCATTTTCACTCACAGCAGAAGCAGCATCACGGTCACCCTCCCCACGCCATTGCTGGGGCGCTGCCAGGCCCTCCTCTCCCGTGGGGCTCTCCTCTGGCCTGCTCGGCCCTGGAGACGGCAGCAGCGGCTCATCAATGGTTACACCCACATCTTCTTGCACACCCTGGGTACAACTCTCTCTTTTCTTCTTCTTCTTCTTTTTCGATTTCTTCGTGTTGTTGGCATCGTGTGTTTCTGAGGCAGGCAGCACAGGTACCTCATCCTCTTCAGGCAATTTTTCTTCGCTTTTCCTCTCAGCAGGTAGTTTTAAATAAACGTAATCAGCTTCCATCTCCTGACAACTGCCCCTGTTATGCTGGTTCACTCTGACACAAGTTATGTCGTTTTGCTCATCCGTACTATCATTACGCTTCCGCTTCTTTTTTCTCTTTTTCTTTGGGGAAACACCCACTCCAGTTTCATTACTAATTTCATGTTCCAGTCCTACACAACAGTTATCTAGTGAAGACTGTTGCTTCTCCCCCTTGCTTTTTGTTTTTTTCTTCTTTTTATAGCCTTCATCCCTCTGTGCTGCTTGATCTTCAAACAGTGGTGGAGAAGCAGGGCTAAGCTCTGCATTTTGTATATTTTCTTCTTCACTGTTTTCATGTTTCTTATTGTCTTTTTCGCGCTTTCTCTTCTTCTTCTTCTTGAGAAAAACTTGGCCTTGAAAATCACCTACGCTTGCTTTTCTGTCGTATTTTTTCTTATCTTAAACAAAAAAAAAGAATTTTACTCAAGTGCTACAGTTTATGTATTGTTACACATCATGTATTGTTACACATCCAAGAAAGAGCAAAACCCACCCAATATATTAAAATATCATGGAACTACTCAATATTATCTTAGAATCGTAAAGATACTTACTTTTCATTCCAGCTAAATTTGCAGAGTGAGCACGAAACAGCGACGCCTTCTTCAAACGGATGTGCATGAGCTGTATTCAGCCTTAAAATGGTTTCCTATAAAAATGAAGATATAGTTTAGTAACTACTAGCTTCAAGTTGATTTTGAGTAACTAAGCAATGCCAGACTGCTACACTCGACTCTGCTTTCAGTGCTGAAACAGCACCAAGCTAAAAGTAAATAAAAATATTAAACTGATCAGCACTAAAATCAAGTTCTCTAACTAGAAGTTTCCGAGTGGTTTTGCCCATGTTTGAAGAGGCACGTGTGAGCCAAGGCCTGCCGGCTCCAAG